CTAAGAACATCATTATTTCTTAAAATTCACTGGGTGTATTCTTAAGACCTTGGGGCATTATATTCCACTCATAACGTTCAAAAGAAATTACGAATATGTCTTTATATCTTTTGCCTTAATATATATATGATAACATCCAGACTTCATGTTAAACTTTGAAAATATATTGGATTAGTCTTTTAATCAAATATTGTTTATTGGGTAAAAGATATCTGATCCATTTTAATATTTTGTTCAATGGCTTATAATTTATAACTAATCTCGGAGCTCATCTTTCTAGTTCTGAAGACATAAAACCCTGTACAACTTCAGGATAATTTTGGTGGTCTAATTAATCTTTTATCCAGAAATTCTTGAATTTCTTGCTTGCAAAACTTAATTTGTTCTTTATTCTTTGTATTAGTTTTGCTTTCATTGGAATATCTTTCTCATTAATTTTTTTTCATAAGGAAGGCTTATTTCATGTTGTTTTCTATAATGAAAGGCCATAAGATTTGTTTCACAAATTTCTTTTTCAATTTTTTCTTGAAAATATTTTATTATTTTTTTAATTTTTGGTGACTTTAATTAATTTTCAATTCTTTTATATTCAATTTCTTTATGAAGGAATTTTATTTGTTTTTGTTTTCTATTTATCATATTTATCCCTTATATGGAAAATTTTTGTAACAAATTGAGTTTCCTTGTTTCAAGGGCCCTTAGGAATTTAAAGATAATTGTCTTTCCTAGAACTGTTTGTGTAGTAATCCCTATGTTACTAATCTGGAAAGGGTATAGTAAGATTAAGAATGGGGTTCATAAAATTATTTAATTGTTCATATTTTTTATTATTACAAAAGACATTGTAAAACATATCTTGTCTTTACAGATTTTTGCATTAGATAATTTATAATTAACTATCATTTTACTACCATTAGCACTGATTACTCTTTTTGTAGTTTTTTCAAAATATTTTGTGGGTATTAACTCTTCATGTATGCAGTTTACATCTGCACCTAAATCTATCAGTGCAATGAACTTGAACTTTTCTTTTTCTACTACTAAGACCACTTCACATAGCTAGCCACTTATAAGTAGTTAAATTTAATAATTGCATTTGAAAGATTTCTGACTCTTTTTCTTCTGGTATTTTGGTTTGTTGTTCTATTAGTTGTTTTCCTTCCAGCGCCATTAGCCTGTATTCTAAAGTTAGCTGATTTTGTTTTAATTCTGTAATTTATTGTTTTAGCCACTTAATTTCATCTTGTAAGTCTTTTATTGTTGTTTGATTTTAGTTTTGTTTAAATCTAGAGGATATCTCTTTCATTTCAATTGATTTTATTTCTCCAGTAACTTGTTCTATTTTTTGTACTAGTTTATTGAGTTTAATAATAAATTCAATTTTTAAATGAGAATCTTCTAACTTATCTATAATGGATATTAAGACTTATGTTTGATCTTAGGTCAATATATTTATTTGCGGACTAGCGCAGTTATTATAGTCGCATAATTCTAGTTTTAAACAGAACTTTTTTTGTTCTTCATAACTTGTATCAGAAGAATTATCTAATTGGTATATTTCAATATTATTATCTTCTTCAAATTCATCTTCTGAACTTTTAGGTTTGGCTTCAAAGTTTATCATTATCCTTTGTAGTGTTAATTTTAACTCTTCATTTTTTAAAGAGTTAATTTTTTATTGTACCCAGCAATTTTTTGCAATGTGACCAGATTTTTCACATTTCCAACAATTATTATTTCTTATTTGTTTCTTATTTTGTGATTTATCTTGTCGTTTTGGTCTATAAAAGGACTTTTGTTGTCTTTACTTATTTTCATGATTTGATTTTTTAGGAAACTATTTTTTAATTTTTTTGTTTTACCTAGTAAGTGATTTAATAGGTTGAAAACCAAAATCTTGACAGAAAGAATCCATCTCTTTTTGGTTTCGTAGTTTTTCTTTTCTTAATTGGTTTTATAGTTTTGCATCTATACATATTTTTATGCTTGTTTCAACAATTATATTATGTGTTTAACCATGAGTTAGTTGTTCATAGGGATTGTACCCCCTTCACACTTTATTTTTAGATTTTGAATGACTTTTTGTGGAAATAATAGTGGAAAAGCGACAATAAACATTTCTTTCCAAAACCTAGCTGTTGTATATTCTCTCAATGATACTTTTGATAAAAACATGTCTTTATACCATGGATGATAAGACATATTTGGGCATCTTAGATTTACTAATTGTAGAGATACTCATTCTTTAAAAATGCTGGAATCTCTTAAAGTGTTGTATTATAGTAAAAATAAAAGTTGATGTTACATCTTTTTCTTGTGTCTCTTGTTTAACATGTATTAATATCGCATTTTTCCTGTCCACAAATGACATATTATCCCACCATCCTCTTAATTGTCCTGTAAATCCCCGAACTATTGTTTTTATTACAGTTTTATCACTAATTCCTCTTATTTTATATGTTGTGGCTGCCATAGCCATTTGTGTGGTAAAATCTAAGATTGTTTGTTCACTTAGTCCACTAAATTCCATTATGTTAGATCATTTCTAGTATAAGGATTTTGTACAAAATTTCCTCTTTCTTTTAAAAGTATATCTGGTAAAGATGACCTATTATAATATAGTTTTTTTTTATGGTTATATTTTGTATTCAACTTATTTATTTTTATTGTATTTATAGAAGTTTTTTCTAAACTTATATGATATTTTTGTTTTTAGCTGCTCTATGCCTACTTCTAGACTACTCTTTTTTCTTAGTTTATATTGTTTTTGTAGGTAGTGTACCTATTTTTAGAATGATTTTTTCTAAGCTTTCCTTTTTTTTACAAGATTCATGTATATCTTTAATTTTAGTTAATTATTCTGAAATAACTCTTAGTACAGTATTGATAAAGTTTATTTGTAGATGTAATTTGCTAATATCATTTTTCTCAATTTGTTTTTTTTTAGGATTGACTTTCTTAAAAGGTGATGTTTCTACTTCTATGTTTTCATTCGTTTGTATTATTATTTTTTCAAGTGGGAAGTACTCTGAAAATACTTCTTTCCTTATTATAGTTTTCCATATTTTTTTAACTACTCCTATTGGACATATCTTTTTTGGAAAAGGAAATTCTTTAACTAAGTATTGTTCTAACCAGTTAAAGAAGTAGATATTAATTTCTATTTGATATAGATAATTATAAAATTTTTCTCCAAATTCTACTTGTTGTGTATCTGAATAAGTGGATGAAAACTACTTTTTTTTTTTTTTGTATTTTGCATCTAAGTCTTCTTTAATCCAAGCCTTATCTATAACAAAAGGTTCTTCTCTTATCAGAGTATTGATTATTTGTGATGTTGTTGGGCTAAAATTTGAGTCTTCTTCAAAATTTTCATAAATCGGAATAGAAACTCTTGGTCTACTATTGTTGTCTAGTCCTCTCAAGCCTAGATTAATAGTAGAGTTATCTACTGAATTTCTAGATAGTTCTTTTATTATTAAGGGCATATTTTGATTAAAAGAATTGATCTATTCATTTTAAGAGGAATACTTGACCCTTTTTGTATAATTTCTCTTATATTTGTATTGTGGATTTTGGCCGTTTCTTCTATGTTTTTTATAATTCATTCTTTTGGAATTCTTCTACTTAGTTCTTCTTAGCTAAGCAGTTTGGGAGTTTGTACTAGACTTTGTTTTGTGTTTGGTTTTATCATTATTGTTTTTGTTTGTCTTAAAGCTTTGAAATTATAGTTTACTTTTGAAACTTTATAACATACTCTGTAAATCATGTGAAAAGGATTTGTAGGCTCATCTGCAACATCTGTTGGAGAATTTATAAAAAAATTTATAGCTTCTGCTGTTTTTTCATTATCCAGGTTCATTGTAAAGTTAAGATAACAATTAAATAGGGCAGGACTGTCATGAAGATTACTTTATAAAGCTGCTATTATTGACTCTTATATTCTATATAATCTTATATCTCGTAGTAATATAAGAATAGGTATCAACTCCTATCCTATAGTTAGGCTTAACTGTAACTTGAATTAATCCTAGGTGAACAAAGTGATATCCATCTTATACATATTTTTTCTAATAATTCATTTTCTAAGAGTTGGATCTCTTTATTATTTGTGGTTTCAGGTTGTGAGTATTGTACTACATGTATTTGTTCATCTGGTCTTCATTCCCAAAGAAACCTTAATTTATATATTTTTGAAAATTTTATTTATGTATAGACCAATTATGTAATGAGTTTTCTATTTGTCCTATTGAGAGATTTTGTCTGGATATAGAACCTCATGCATCTTTACTTTGTGTTCTTATCTCTCTACCTTGTCTATTACTTCCTAAACACTTATAACTATAAATGACATATTTGGTATTGATCTTTAAGTTAACACTTTAGGTTACGAGATCACTCTAGCTGACCAATAAACTTAAAGTCTAAAAAAAAGACTTATTGTCATGATTACTATTTAGGCTGACCAACATATTCATAACTCTCACTACTACCTATATTTTAACATTTAAGACAAGAAGAACTTAAACTTCTCCTGAACTAAAATTTTAAAAAAATATATTATATTAATACATTTTTATATTTTAATTTTATTATTATTAATATTTAATTATTTAATTAATATATTATATTATAATTATTTTCATTTATAATAAATAAAAATTACTTAAATATGAATTATATTTTATTTAAAACTAAAATTTATAAAAATAATAATAAAATTAATATATATATATATAATAATAATAATAACAACAATAAGACAATATAATAAATAATATAATTTTAAATAAATTATTTATAATAATATTTATTTAACTTGTCATATATTTTATTTTTATTGATTTAAATTTTTTAAATACGATATTCATAAAAAAAAATTTTGAGATAACACACACTATAAATAAATTATATTTAATATAATAAAAAAAAAGAGTTGGTGTGAAACAGAGGAGGGGAGTGGAAGGAATTAATTTGAGAAATTAATTTGAGACACTAATAAGTGTCCCGTAAGTACAAACGAAGGGTGGTTAGAGTTAGAGGCAGAAGCGAAGGAAAGAGAGAAAAGAGGTGGGAGTGAGTGAAGAGAAGAGAAGAAGAGAATAAATTCAAAGCAAAACGAAGAAAAAAAGAAAGAAAAATGAACGAAGATGGCGTAACCTCTGCGAATCTCAATCCCTCTCTTCCCAAACCACCCTCTTCTCCTCCGACTCCGGCTGCTAGGTCTCTCTCTCTCTCTCTCTAGGGTTACTCTTTCTCATTCAAATCTCTTATTAACCGCAATTCGATTTCAAACTCTCCTTTTTCTAGGGTTTTTCACTTTACTTGTTAATAATTGATATTTTTTCTGTTCCTCTCAGCTCGGCCGGGGCTTCCTCGCCGGCGGTTCCGGCCAACGCCGGCAACGGAGATTCTCGCCGGCGCGATAAATCGAGCGCGGATTCGCATCTGGTTATCGGTTCGGTGCTGCAAGGGGCTTCGGTTCCTTCCTGTAGGCCCTGGGAACGCGGTGATTTGCTTCGCCGCCTTTCCACGTTCAAGCTCGCAGGAAAATTGCCCAAGGTTTGCGGCTTTTCGTGCTTTATGTTACTTAGAAAAATTGTGGTGGAAGCCATTAGGTTAAGCCAATTGGGGCAAAATGATTGTATTTAGGTTTGGTCGCTTTGCAGGTTGCTGGCTCTTTGGCTTGTGCCAAGAGAGGTTGGGTGAATGCTGATGTTGCTAAGATTGAGTGTGAGTTATGTGGTGCTCAATTAGATTTTGCTTTGCCTTTAGCGTCCTCTTTTGAAGGTGAGGCTATTATTAATGACTACATTTATGGCTTTTTGTGATGGAGATTGCTTGTTCCGCTAGATTTTTTATCCAACTTGAACCCGTGTTCAGTGTATATATATTAACGTAGATTGAAATATGCCTTCTTCTTGAAGACTGGTGTTTTCTGTTTCTACCTTTCCAGAAAATTATCTCTTCTGGGGGATCAAATTAGACATTATAGCTGAAAATGCTTTATTGAATGGATAAGCTCACACTAATTTGTCAATTTGGGATTTTCCTTGGGAGGCATTTGAAGGAATTGGAATGGAATTATACCAATTCATGTAGAAATAGAGGAAAGGTTCTTGAGTCAAATGCTATAGAGATAAGGATAGAGAAAGAGGGAAAAGCCTAAATATTTCATGCAGTACTTTTGATTGAAAATCAATTTGATTTATTTTGTACCTTTTGCTTAATGAGAGAATGATTATATTATGCATTTCCAGTTGATTTTATTGCAGTGACTTTCAATAAGGTAAGGTTTATGGGCAAACTAGTTACACATTGAATGCCACCTAGTCCCTAGATACATTTTGTTAGAGGTTGTTATTTTACCATTTTTGTGTTAGATTATGATACAATGTCCATAATGTGTATTTTGAACCTTTTGTGGTATCAACTCTACTCTATATTCAATAAAAATACTTTATACTTCTTTTTCTGTTCTTTGTAAACTTTTTCGTTTTAATATTCTGGCACTTCACCATGAACCCTCCTATCTTGACTTTTGTACCACTTGATTTGATGCTGCTGCTGGGACTTGATTATTGTTTTGCATATCTTTGATGAAGCTGATACTTCCAGTGAAGAATTTAATGAACAGCTAGATAGAGGACACAAAATCACCTGTCCTTGGAGAGGCAATAGCTGTCCAGATAGTTTGGTGCAGTTCCCTCCTACCTCAGCTTCAGCTCTGATTGGAGGTTTTAAGGATCGGTGTGATGGACTCTTGCAGTTTTACTCCCTCCCCGTTGTATCTTCATCTGCAGTTGAGCAGATGCGGCTTACACATGGCCCTCAAATTGACCGCTTTCTTGGGCACTTGCAAATTCAGACAATTGGAGAATTGGGCTGCAGGGCAGAAAATGTATGTGGAATGGGCTTTACTGGAGAACAGGCTCCTCATCCATATTCTTATGTAAGACTTTTGATATTGTTTTATTTTCATTATCTATGTAAGTGTATTTTAGTTCTATTTGTCTTCTGATTTTATTATTTTCATCCTACAATAATATTCATCATCAATAGGCTCAGAAGCTCATAAGTCTTTGTGGATGGGAGCCACGGTGGCTTCCTAATGTGCTTGACTGTGAAGAGCAGTCAGCTGAATCAGCTAAAAATGGTTACAGCTCTGGTCCAGCCAAAGGCTCTGCACCAGATCCTGCTCCAAGCAGGAAGGAGTTTTCAACTTCATCCAGGAAAGAAACCGGGGATAATGATGTACTGGGTTCAGAATTTAATTGTGAGTCTAAGTCACCTTTGTTAGATTGTACTTTATGTGGGGCCACAGTTAGAGTATGGGATTTCTTGACTGCCCCTCGTCCAGTACATTTGACACCCTGTGGAATTGATACCCCTCAAACTAGCAAGAAAATAGCATCAACAAGAGGACTAAGTGCAGCTAGTGGTATCAATGAATGGGCTGCTGCTGATGGTGTTGAAAAAGAGAGGACTGGAGATCGTGATGAGGCTACAACATCTGATAAAAGGCAACTTGTATCCAATAAAAGTTTAGATTTAAATCTTAAAATGGCTAGTGGGCCAACCTGTTCACCAATGAACTTGACTTCAACCTCAGGTCATGTGCAAGATGCTGTTATGGGAAAAGATTTAATGATTGGGCGGCCTTCTGGAAGTGAGATTGGTGACCAGGCAGCTTCTTATGAATCACAAGGCCCAATTGCACGCAAGCGCAGGTTAGATGATGGTGGAACCACAGCTGATAGGCCACATCTAAACATGCAACAGGCAGACAGTGCTGAAAGAACTTTAACTGATCGTGATAATAATGAAGTCATTGGTGATCAACAGTATTCAGCTGGTCCTTCCAAGCGTGCCCGTGATACTGATCTATTGGAAAAGTTCCAGTTTCCATTAAGAAATTCTTCTGGTGCTGTACCTAGCCGTTCATCAGATATTCAAATAGAACCAGAGGCAAACATGGCTAACCAATTAAACCCAGAAAGGGATAATACTATTGGCATCCCATCTACCAGAGATTCCACCCATGCATCTTCTATTATTGCGATGAATACAGTTTATCACAGTTCAGATGATGAATCAATGGAAAGTGTTGAAAATTTTCCTGTTGATGTTAATGATGTCAATTACCCTTCTGTTGATTTGAATGAAACATCAGAATTAAATAACAGCTATCAAGCGCAGCAGAGTACTTGTTTCCAACCGCTTTTAGAAAGAGCTGGGGGTGAGGCTGGTGTTAGCAGTTCAAATGCTTGTGGGGAAGTTTTGAACACAGAGATATTAACTGCACATGCTAGGGATGGGCCCAGTTTTGGTATTAGTGGGGGAAGTGTTGGCATGGGTGCAAGTCATGAGGCTGAAATCCATGGGACTGATGTCTCGGTTCATAGAGATGATAGTTTAGGTGACGTTGAACCAATTGCTGAAGTGATTGAAAATCAGGGCCAGGCTGGTGAATTTGAGCCTTATCATGGACTCACTGGCGATTTTGTGCCTGAAGAAACGAGTCGGGATGATCCTCAAGGGGATAGTCAAGCCGTGGTGTCTCAATCTACAGCAAGGACTGATAGTGGCTCAAAAATTATAGCTTCAACCAAATTTGAATCTGTTGAAAGCGGTGAGAAGACCAGTAGTAGCATGCAGATGCCAGGCCATGAAAATGGTGCCCATCCATCCCTTTCTTGTAATGCTGTTGTATGTTCTGCCTATGAAGTATCCAAGGAAGAAGTTACTCAGACTGGGAAGGCATCTCACATTGATGACGGTGCATATCATGAATCAAGCTTTTTAGCTGCAGATGTTATGGGTATGTCAATTTTTATTTTTTATATTTACTTTATTTAGTTCTTTATTTCCATCTAAACTTGAAGATGCTTTTCCCTCATCTTCACCTCATTCTCACTGCTGCTCAATGTGACCAGTAAAAGCTGCTACACTTTTCAATTTTGAATGTTTTCATTGTAATATGTTTAATAATTTCTTTTCTAATGATATAATTATGTGATACAAAATTATACAAAGTTGTTTGGTTATTGAAATAATCCTATTATTAATTACAACCATGATAAGTAATATCAGAGTACCTTATCTAAAATGGGTTGTATTGGGAGGAATAGCTTATAGATAGAGCCAGAGGGGGTTGGGGCCCCCGGTTATACCTTCTTGTGTGGATATTTAATGAGGAAAGGGAGAAAATGCATCCATTTTTTGTTTGGGAATCAAGTCTTCTGTCCCTGTCAGTTTTTCCTCCCAATTAAATGCTTACAACTCAGTAAGAAAAAACAAATAACAAATGAAATTGTTGTCAATTATGACATTTTTTTTATTAAAAAATATTGTCAGTATTTAATTGGGGGAGGAGGGACTGGAAATGGGAACAAGTTCTTTATACCAAGAGCCTTCCTTATTAGAAGTTACATTGGACCCAATTGATTTGAGTTAAGCCGGGTGGACCCATTTTAGGGGCCAAAGTTCTCGAACGCTTGCTTTCTTCATTCATAAGACTCAATCTTCAGACCTTAGTTACATAAGAGGAACTAAGCTCCTCACCTCTTGAAGTTAAACCAACATGCATTGGGTATGGGGGACAAAATGATTTGAATTCCTTTGAGTCTTTCAAGGAAGTAGAAGACATATAGTTGTACAACAACAACAAGCAAGCCTTATCCTACTAGGTGAGGTTGGCTCCATAGATCATATGACACCATTGAACTTGGTCAAAAATAAAAATTTCAAAAATTTGATTAATCAAAAAGTTTCTTTTAATAATTTCATCTAATGTTTTTTTGGTCTCTCTCGACCCTTTTTTACCATACTAAAATTTATGCAATCCATTCTTTTCATTGGTGCTTCTAAAGGCCTTTTCTATGCATGATCAAATTACCTTAGATGGTTTTCAATCATTTTTTCCACTATAAGTGTTACTCCAATATTCTCACTTATACTATCATTTTTTATCTTGTCCTTTCATTTGTGACCACTCATCCACCTTAACATTTTTATTTCTGTTATTCTCAGTTTTTTCTCATGTTGTTTCTTTAAGGCCTAATATTCATTACCATATAGGATAGCTGGTCATATTGCAGATACTTTATGATTACAAATAACTCTTGATAACTTTCTACACTTTAATTATCCACCTTGTATTCTATGAATAATCTCTTCATTAATTTTTCCATTATTCTGTAGAAGACATATAGTTGTAATGATATTTCAATTTCATGATTTTGGCAACCTTATCCTTTATTTGAACTTGCCCCAAATTTTGATGTTGAAATCTCTATCTCTCATCCACATAAGCAAACACACCCTAGCAATCACACAGACAGTGTTTGCGTAACTGTCATGAGTGAGTATATTATACATGTAGATATTGATTAGATTACACAATCATATAGTTACATCCATTGTTTATGATGTTCTAATATGAATTTATGAGAAATGAAACTCTTATTCAGATAATGTTTTCAACCTTATTGTTGTTTAAATGGTTTCATGGTGGATGCACCAATCAGTAACTAATGAGTTACTCATGAATTAATTTTTAAATGAATTTACCTGGTATATACAAACAAATTCACATGAAACACAATCTCTAATCTTTTGCTGAATTCAAGTAATGTGGATGAATTGTACCCAAACCTTCTGTCCCTTTTGTAGAATTTTTCTTTCATAATAAAATTTTCATATTATGCTACATAATTTATCTGAGATAACCTGTGCCATTGCCTGCCACTCTATTCTGGTAGCTCTTTGTTGAGCATTAACTAATGCACTCTATTCCAATGATCAGGGACTCCTTATAGAGACAACAGTAATGGAGGTGTTGAATTTGATCCAATCAAATTACATATTGATTACTGTCCTTGGGTGAATGGGGATGTTGCTGCTGCTGGTTGTGATAGCTCCAGTTCAGGTGTGGGTAGTGTAGCTCTTTGTGGTTGGCAGCTGACTTTGGATGCCATGGATTCTTTCCAGTCTCTTGGACATCTTCCTGTACAAACTCTAGAATCTGAATCGGCAGCATCCATGTGCAAGGTATGTTCTAGTTGTTCCACTGCAGTATTAGCCTTGATTACACGGTGAACACTATATTTAGATGTTTAGTATTTTCATGAATGTTCCCCATTTTCAAAATCCAAAATAGTCTTCAAATTATGATAGAAAATGGTTCTCCAAGATATAGTTTTTATTCTATTTTAGGTAGGAAATTTTGATCAGTCACAGACAATATATGTAAGGAACAACAGAACATGTAAAGAAAGATGCATAACTTAGAGAAGATATTTAAGTTATTAAATATACCTGTTTAATATGCTAGGATTTTTAAATCATAAACTCCTAATTTATGAAGCTTAGATACTCCAAAAATAACAAAGTATAGGTGTCATACCTGTATCTGATATTGACATGTGAACTATATGCCTAGATACTTATCCAAGGAGTATCCTCCATTTTTATTTTTATTTGCTGATACGTTTGGGAAATGTCTTAGATACTTACAATAGTACTAAAATTTTATGACTTTCTTTTCTTCCATATTCTTAAAGTTATAGTAAATAGTATGCAATTATATAGAGCCAAGACTTGTTTTGAATGGGACTAAGATAATTTTGTGGCATTATGATATGAATTGGGAAAAATTATATAACATCTTTGTCATGCTCATATGAGAAAAGAATATATTCTGATCTGGGCAAGGGAAAAAAAATGTAACTAGGATTGTTTTTGTTATGATCATCATCCAGTGATACAGTTATGTAATAATGAGAAATGATCAATGTCTCTTTACAAATATTGTGCATTTAAAAGTAAAGTATTTTTTTTTAATAGTCATTTTAAAGTATTTATGTTGTATTGTATCTTAAATATTGAAGTTTTTTCCATATCCCTATTTCTGTGTCATATCGAATTTGTGGCATTTTACGTATATGGGCTTCAAAGGTCAACTTGCGAAAAAAATATGTATCCTATGGTGGTAATAAATAGTGTTATACTAAATGAAATTAAATAAAGAGATAAAGTTTAAATTAAAAAATAGTTATGAAAATTTTATAATTTAAATTAATATTGAATTAAAAAATGTTTAATGTAAAAAAATCTACTTGGCATGGTTAGAAACAGAATCAATTCGTAAAGTGCTTCCATTTAAGTAAACTTTTGAAAACACTCATTTAAGCTGTACTTATAAATTAAGTGATTGGTTTCTACAAAAGTTGCACAATTTAAAATTAGTCCTTATAAATTATTTTATTAGGATAAAGTCTCTACTTTTTCATGAACTATTATTTTTAGTCTCTCTACTATTATTATTTTTTATTTCAATAGACCACGTTAGCTAGAAGGATTAAAAACAATAGTTTATAAAAAAGTTGAAACTATATTCTAACATAATATTTTATAGGGATAAAGTCTAAGTTGTGCAACTTTTGTAGGAATCAAATACTTTAATTAAGCCTAAATTAAATATTATAGATTGTATCTTTGCTGTACTTATCAATTCTTCTTTGAGAACCATTTGCATTTAAAAAGTTATAATACATTAACTTTAGATAGGTACTGTCAATAACATCAACCTCACTACCATTCGTTGCTAAAAAGAGTTTTGAGTTCCAAGTTAGTGGCAACAATTAATGGAAGAGCTAATATGTTGATGTCTATTGCAAAAACAAATAGTAAAGAGAAGAAGAAGAGATATTCATATATTTGATTAGATGAAGATATATTCATATATTTGATTTAGTTTGAACTCAACTACTGGATTCTGGTGTAGGCACTAAGCTGCTCACTGGAAAATCAATGCCATATTCAAGCGGTGCCATTTTTGAATGGTTTTTTTTCCAAATGTATTTATTTTGGTTGGGAATTTCATTTTTCTATATGTGACACTAGACTGCAGTTTCTTCTGATATGTAGAAAGAGCTCCCAATTTTATCATAAAGGAAACCATTTTGATGCTCTAAAAATGCTTGCAAGTTAATGGTGTATCATGTTAGATTATATTATTGTCTTTCAGGGGGACCGCCTCACTTCCAGCCAAAAATTGTTAGCACGCAACTCTTATGTGAGAAACCATGGAAGGAACTGAGACCTTCAAGAAGTTTTCACAAATTTTGTTGAGCTGTTACTCCAAGAATGAGTTTTATTCCTATATACTAATTCAGGTTATATTTTTATTTGGACGTCTGTCCAATCATGTTTTTCTCTAAAGTCAGTTTTGCTGTTATCATATTTACTGTTTTATTGGATTTTGGATTGGCATTTGTTAGTTTAATAAAAGTATCATTGCATCAAAGCCTTTTTGAGCTGTAGCAATTGATATGGATGATAGATAATGTCAGCTAGTGATTAAGTAACTTCATTACTTCAAACCTCCATTGTAGTCTTGTGGTCCTGCCTAAGATGGCTTATAGGAGATTGTTTTTCTATTTTGGAGCTTTCGGCCTTTCACCCAAAATAGCTGAAAGCTACACCGTACTCTATTCATGCCGCAATTATGAGATTCATTTTTTTTTGGGATATATATATATACTATAATATGGTTGAATTTGAATTTCATCTTGATGCTGGCTATCTTTTTTTTAAATAGCTAGCATAAAATTATTTCTGTAGCAGCAGTAGAAGTGTTCGTTATACATTAGAATAGACAAAATATCTAAATTACTTGCTTCAAATCTGTAATTTAATTCAAGATATTAAATCACGGAAAATGTTTTAGAATTGGTTAATCTTCAAAATGAGGGTTTCATGCAGTTAGATCATCCCCATTAGTAGTTAGTTATGATATGTTAGTTCGGGACACATTAATAGTTATTGTAAAAGAAATAATGCATATTGCCTCTATAAATAAGATTGAGATAGAGAGGTCAGCTTGTCAACTGTGAGAGTTAGGGCCTTTTGGCTTAGGAGGTGGGATGCCTTGAAGAACTGTTGAGTGTGTGTCTTTTCATTTCAGTAAATTGGGGAGTACGTGTTTCCTCATAATGATACTAGATTTCTATCAAATGTTTACAATGTAACCATAGTAATTAATAGTATGCAGTAGTGTCCCATATAATGGCGTTGTGGCCCTTCTGGGCACTGTGGAAGTCATTGTGTTGCATCTTCATGGAGCTGCTGTAGTATCTGCTTTCACGGTTGTATTCACACGCTATTTTGCATTTGTGGCCATGATTGGTAACAGGGACTTAAAAAACCTTCTTTAATTCCCTGACTCTCTGGCCACTATATGGAGGCCATTGTGTTGCATCTTCATGGAGCTGCTGTAGTATCTGCTTTTACAATCCTATTCACACGCTAGTTTGCATTTTAGTGACCATGATTGGTAACAGGCACTTAAAAGACCTTCTTTACCCCCTTAATATCACTTGTCCATGGAGTTTTTTGGGGATCATTTCATAATTTGTTTTAATTTTTTCTGTAGATAGTTTGAAACACTGGTTCACACTGAATGACATTTATCAAATGGATGCTCTGCTCTCCTGTGTACCTCTGTTTGACGCAAACTGTCTAACACCATAACACACTGGTGCATTTCCAGCGAACCCTTGCTACTTTGGCAACATTTCCGGCCAACCCACAATCCACTGTCATTAATTTTGTTGTCTCTGTTCCATTCATGTCCTTTGGGCTCAAATCTGTTGATGTCAAAGGGGATTCTCTGTTCTATATCTTCGAATTAAAAAGTAGCTAGTTGGAGATCCTAAGATCTTAAAAACCCAACATCAGAATCCCACACTTCTAAATTGAGACTCAAGTCCCATACCATACAGTTGAGATTCTAACATCCCGTGATGCTCTGCAGTCCCTGTGCCTACACAAGTTGACTTTGATATAATTGATGAACCTTGGGAGAACCACACCACAAAAGCTAACCGTTGTATTTGGAGAGCTCAAGGTCTAATAAACCCCACACTAGAAATGTCATACTTCTAATGTGGGACCTAAGTCCCCATGTGATCAAATTTCTTTTCAGATAGGGATGCTCTTTTCATAAATAACAGGAGAAGCATTTCTCCAATTTAATCCCCAGCTAGAATCTTATGGTTATAATCCTTTATTTCTTTGTCTTCTTGTATGATAGACCAACTAAATTGCGTGATTTGTCTTATGGTATGATCTTCAATTTTCGCTTCCAAATTAGTGCTCGAACAGTCTTCCTGAACATATATTCTATATATCCTCCTTAATTGGAAACCACGTGCTTCCAAAGCTTTCGTCCCATTTATTTACTCTGTCAGCTTTTCCACTTGGACTGTGGTCTAGTTTGGATAAATTTCTAAATAAGTACTTATAAGAAAGAATACCTTTGGGGAGGCACTAGTAAGGAGAGTATATTGTATAACTTTTAGTTCGGTAAATATGGGTTGAGGGAGAACCAGTAGAATTTTAGACGAAGTTATTAAAAGTGACTATTTGATTAATCAAATTTTTAGAACTTTGATTTTTGACTGAATTCAATGGGCAGTGTGTAATTCATCTAGTAGTCAGTTTGCATTCCAAAAACCCAGATAAAAAAATATAAGGGGGCTCAAAATTGAAGTTTTTACTTTTCTAGTTGTGAGTCACCTTATTTGATATGTAGTGAGGCTGTATTCTCCAGTTCTTGTCCTTCCATATCAGTCTGATTGGAAGTGATTCATTGTGTCAGCCACATTCATTTGACCCTAAAAGATATTGCCTTAAAAGCATGGATGTGACCATTGCGATAGATTTAGCCTTAAACAGGCCAACCAAAGCTAAGTTGATGATCTTAGCCTAACTGCTCGACTTATCTGTGTTTCTATTAACCAAGTCAATTTGGTTCCTTTGCTTCTTTTTCGCATTTTGCTGCATGAAGGCTAAAAGCTTCCAAATAAAGGTTTTGATGTATTTCGAGAAATTATTTGTCGTACGATCTTGCAGGGTTAATACTTTGTGATCCGTGAAAATTTCTTACCGGCATTCATCTTTCCAGCGGTTCCTTTTTACACTCAAATGGCTTTCTTTCCAGCAATGTCGAGTGAAATTCTTTTTTATGGTGCCTGATACCAGCCGCCTGCTTGTTTCGTTGTCCCTCAAAACCTTGTTTCTTCTACGATTTTAATTCCATTACAAGTTGTGGTTTTAAGAACCCATGCAGTTTCTGGATTTTATGATTCATATTTGATAAATGTTTTATTTTGTAATAAGTAAAACGTTTGATAACCATAAACCACAATCACACTAAAATTCTTGAATACACATCTATGAGCTATGATGTTTTGATTCTTGGGACGAGTCGAGTCTTTTGGAATATTGCACAGGGGGGGGGGGATAGTCAATCCTTCGGGTAATAGAGATTTTGTTTTCTTTTCCATCAAATAGTTTTGCATTAGATGTCTGTGATTGTCAAAAGCTCCAAAATACTGTGCATATAATGATCGGCAAATGGGCACATAGGGATTTTTTATTAGTCGATTGTATATGGTAGGCGCGTGGTTGGGAGTTGAGACTATAATGTGTTTGAAATAGAGTATATTAGAGTGTGTTGGCATTTCTCTCGTTCCAATGGAGTCAATGTTCTTCACTTTCCATGACTTGATTGATTTGCGTTGAACTTCATCAAATGCCAAAACAGGTTAATTTTTCTGAATTTTTGCTCGATTTGAAGGGAGCTGAAACCGAGATCTAAGCTATTTAAAACTTGTTTGTTTTTAAACGGTTTTTTCTTTTTAAAGTAAAAAAATAGAATTTGTTTGTTAATGCATGGTTTATTTTTATTTTCTTCTTAAAAATAATTTTAAAATATAATTTTTTAAAATTTAAAAACCAAAACAGAAACAAACAGGTTCTTAATTTTTTTGGTAAAAAAAAAACTTTGCTTGCAAGTTATTTTGGGTTATTTGCTCGATACGAAGAGTTGTAATCAATGAAATTTAAATTATGACGAATGAATTACAAATGGCTAAAAATTTAAATTTTTTATGTTTGAAAAAAGGTTTTAAAAAAGTCGGTACAAGGAAACTACTAGCCAATTATTCAGAAGCTTTCAGATTATGTTAAAACCACCAAACGTAATTGAAATGTGTAAAAAAATTTTAACTACAAATTATATGGTAAAGTATGCGATTATTTTATGTTAAGCAACAAGGCCCGTTAGTCCTCAGACGGCTAGTTTTTATAAATGATTAGCGAAAGATGAATATAAAAATATTAAAGTCAATTGACGTAACAGTAGAAGAATAAACTAAACAAAATGATTAATAAAAACTAAAGTTAAACTAGGCAATTCCTCCTCTTCCCTTTATTGTAATTTTTATCCTTTTCATCTTTTATAAGTGTTTGTAATTTTTTTTTGTAATATTTATCATTTTTTTAATTTTTTTAAACTATGATTAACATTATACTCTAAAAAATTTTACCCTATTAAGAGGAAGAAAACTTGGCCCATTATTGAATATAAATCCACCAACAAATAATTTGTCTAAAAAACCTTTCATAATTTATTTGATTAAGAAAAAAAAATTAGATGTCAAATAAAAATGACTATAAATGATGTGTATCAAACTTGATTACTTACAATTTCCTAATAATTTTTTCATAAAATATAAAATTAACTAATTTGACCATTAAATTATTTTATTTTATTTTATTTTCAAAATCATCTATATCAAATTTTATATAATTTAAACATTTATATATTAATTATCTAAAAGTTAATATTTATATATATTTTAAAAATATATCACACATTGAAATAAATCAAGGAAGTTCCTATTATTTTTTGTATTTGAGTAAAATTTTACGTGAGAAAGGGAAGAAATTTCACAAGTAAAAGTGTTGTCTGCACACCTTTTTTGGTTGGAAATAAAATTCAGTCCATGCCCATTTTCAATCTAATTTCTATTCGAAAAGAAAAGTCACTTTCTAACCGCCTAAGGTTGGTATACTGTGAGCCAATTTAGCTGTGTGCCTAATAGTCATATGTGACCTTGTCTTATGACAGCTAACACGATCAGGACACATCCTAGTCTTTATATATCAAAATTTTATGAATTGATCTCCACCATTTACTATAATTATAACGGCGTTAAAGTAAGTTTATATAAAGATCCAAATGAAAAATGAAATACTATGTGTAAAGACCAAAACCAAATTGTAAAGTTTTTCACATGGAAGAACCAAAATGAAGAATACTTTTTATATGAATTAAAATAAAAATCAATGTCAAGTATAGGAAATGTATTTAATTAACAATACTAAACTTTGATAATCGAAATGGACTAATTCATAAACAATTTTTCATATAAGAGCACGTAGGATTTTTTTCATGTAGGAACTAAAATGGCAAACAGTACAATGCGTTGAAAGCAAATGTATAATTAAACCTTTTACCTTTTTTATTGCCTTTAGTCAAATAAAGAGAGAAGGGTGTGTTTTGTTTTGTTTTTTGGGGGTAGGGGGAGTAAAACACAATCATAATCCCAAGTATGTGTCTACAGCGTAGGTTCAAGTAAAATAGTTTGCCATGTCTTGTGCTAATATGAATACATGATGAACTTCCTTTATTGTTGAAAACAACAAAAAGTCATACCTACACTGAGGTATTACAACAATTGTCAGCACATCATCAAAAGACTGACTGCTGCTTACTCATTGGAAGGTGCATCCTCTGATGGAACACTTCCCCCTTCTTTATGACAATACATGAAAATTTAGTTAGTTCTTTTAGAAGATGTAGAGAATCATAAGGGAAAAAGGAATCTATGTTTAAACATTTTAATTGACTATAAGCCAACAAAATTAAACATACCTTCTCCTGAAGGAGCGTATGGAGATTTCCGGTAACGCGTTTGCTGCTGTGTTGGCTGAAAAGCAGAAGCGCCAACCAGAGATTTGTCATGCACATTACATGAGACATGAGAGTGGCAGGTATAATTAGATTTAAGGCATGATTGAACACACATAAATCTAATCTTCCTAGCCTCTAAGAAATGTACTAAGGATCTATGGGTACATAAGCACTTATTTAATAAACTTTCTATCATGTGAGAACTTATACTACATATTTGCCCATAAAACTTCTTGGAACAAGTTGAAAAGAAGCTTATTGAAACAAGTTGAAAAGAGCTTGAGAGTCCCAGGCTATTTCCGTAAACTCTTCCAAATAGAGTCTAAAACTTCTTTTTTTCTTTTGGGTTTTTTCTCTTTTTTAAAATAAGTAATAGAATCATAAAATTCTGTAATCAATTTTTAATAAAAAATTACTTTTTCTAGGAAAAAACTTAAACAAACAGGCCATTATTTTTGTTTCAAAATGAAAATTAGACAGATGATTAGAGATTTGAAGCTTTCACTTTCCAAAAACTGTAGAGAAGGGGGTGGTAGGGGATAGGGGACGCTATGGTCTATGGAGCAACATCCTTTATGATGGTAAAAAGTCAGTGAATAACGAAGGCATCATCCTCAAGATTCTGTAATCTTATTACCCATTTATTTTTATTGTAATGTGAAGAAGCTAGCAGTTAACATTAACACAGCCATTATATAGCAAGTGCTGATCCAAATCCCATAACTAAATGGAAAAATTCAAATTTAATTGTCTAAAGTAAATAATATAACCATTATTCTATTTCAGTTTATTCTAAATCTTTGATCATTGGAAACTTTACCAACCAATTTATTAACAAGCATGCAAAATAATGTTAGACACGCATAACACTACAAATAACAAATATTATCCACAAGCCTGTTCCCATACCTAATCTAACATTATCTGAGTTTAATTTTTTTTAGACTTTACAACTGCCAATGACATATAACGATTTCAAGAAACAGTCAAAGACCATTAGGCAGCAGGCAATCCACACATCAGAAGAAAAATTATTATCAAGTCATAGAAAGCAATTCCACTATCTAAATCAGGTATTAGAACATCGGTTAACTACCTGCAATTTAGGGCGAAGAGCCTCAAGTGGTCCCTTAGGCTTCTCTCCACCTTGCTGTTTCATGTGAGGGCACAGAAAAGCGTCAGAAAATTCAAATATAACCAACTATGATGGCGGCATGGTTTCCAGAAGTACCTTTCCAAGTGCCCAATCCGCAGAATCAAAGTAAGCACGCTCATGGTCCTAGCATAAAGTTGAGTTTAAATGAATCAGAATATACCAACAAATATTCATGGGCACTATGCATCATGATATCATAAACTCAAGTGACAAACAAATTAACACAAATCCACACGCACACACCTTAGATATGAGTGGTGGCTTTTTGGGCACGATTCCTCCATATTTTTTCTTTACAGCCTCCTCCTACAAGGTTTATGAATTAACAAGTCACAATAAAAGAAATTCTTCGGGAAGTAAAACAACCTCTTAGTAAAGAGGTTATGAATCTCACAAGGACTTCCTGGATTTGGGAAGGGTAAATATACACAGCCTTACTCCCACAACTGGAGAGACTATTTCCAGGATTTAACCATGACCTCCAAGGCTCCAACACACAAGGCAGCAAACTTACCATTGTGCCAAGGTTCAACCTCAATGAAGATTATGTGATGCAAAGTGAAATTAATTTTAATTTGAGCATTCAAAAAACAAGATCAGAATACCACCTGCTTCTGGGATGATGGCATGTCGTTAGCCGACTCATCTGATGCATCCACATCCATCAGTCCAAGACCTTTGTTATGCTCTATGTTAGACATGAGGTCCTTTTGAGTGTAAAACTGCAGCTGCAACAACAGGCCAGGTTAGCAGAAAATTCTCAAATGCACAAAATACCACATTTGTGAATAAAGTCCTAGGTTAGCAATGATTAGAATTCAGAAAGCTCTTCAGACACGTCAGACTCTAGCAATGAAATAAATTGTTTCTTTGAGAACGGGAATTTGAAAATGCTTTCATACATGCACAAGCCATCATTACCAAACTTACTTCAATAAAAGTTCATGGACAAAAAAAGATACAAGAGTTAGGAAAAGCATAGCCAATTCCCTGTTTACCCATTTAAAGACATATAGGAGATATTCAAATATGTACAATGAACAAACCACACACCTCATCAAAAAGAAAGACCAGTATGGACAGTACAACAAACATACATCTTTTCTAAATCAAAAACCTACAGCTAACAGCAGTTATACTTATAATACAGACATTCAGCAACTCATTCCATACTTCAGGCCCTGAACATCTAATCAGAGAATTTGGTTTACTGGGCACAAATGGGACAGAGGAATAATTGGCTGAAAACTTTATTAAACCTACCTAGTCAATAAAATGCTTCGTGAAATCATAACACAGCATCATTTTAAGTGTAATCGCATGATTTAAAAGTAACAATGAAAGAAGAAAATGCAACCAAAGGTTACAGGGAAACTGCAAGTCCATCTTTATCAAGTGAGACTCTAATGGATATTACATAAGTTTCATATCATTTTATTTCACGTCATTTTGCTTCTCCATATTGGTATCCACACTACAGGGTTGAAAAAAGCATACAACACCTATCCTAATCAAAAGCAAAAAACTTTTCAATGAACAATGATTCCTCAAAGAAATGCTACCTAGCTTACCAGTGATCTTCCACAACTACAAATTTGCAATTAAGCAAGGCTCAAAAATAACAACAATATTTGATCTTCAACCATGTCAAAAACTAATTGGGCACAAGGCACAAAACAAAAATAGCAGAATCATTACATCCACACAACAAAGTTGAAAAATCCATGTGCAAGCTCGCTAGCACACACCACCCAGCCCATCAAATCAAGCAAAGTTGAAAGCTTTTTCTACAAAGAAACACACATCTGAGGATAAAATAAGCATTGGTTTTCGAAGAAGTTCAATAACTCCTCAACCCAACCAAAAATTCTAAAGCCTCCATCCCCCATAACGAGCAATCATTGCAACTAAATCATCAAATTAAATGGGTATTGAGAAAAAACCAAAAAGATTACAAATTTAGGTAAAAAAAAAAAATACTGAACTTGATAATGGGGTGGAACAAATGGAGCAGCTTTGAAACTGAATAAAGAGACAGAAAATGAAGATCAAGTTGAAGGAAAAGGACAGAAGTCACTCACCGGAGCGGTGGGGCCACAACCGTATTCAGCGGAGCACCGAATGGTGTCTCTGCTCTCTCCTTCTCTCTCTAACTCTCTGTCTCTCTCTCCTCTCTTCTATCTTCTCTGTGTTTGTTAATTGTTGTCTCTGTCTCAGATCCCATGCTTCCTTACATTCATTTTTTTTTTGTCTTTTTTTATTTGTTTCATTTAATCATATTTTTTGGATCCAATTATCATCATCATTATCATTATTATTATTTTTACATACGCATGCAATTTTGTCATATACAATGGTTTATTGCGATTAAGGAATTTTTGTCACCTTTTCTAACAATTGAATTGATTACGCAATGTGCAGTGCACGCAATTTCATATGAGTATGCTGTGATGTTTGGTCCTCCTATGTCTTAAGACTTTCATTAGATGTAGCTTTTTGTAAATGACCAAATTACAATAAATATATTTTTAATAAAAAATTATTTTCAAATATTTAAAATCAGCCATAAAATATTTTTAATTATAACTATAATTTTATATTTTAACATATGTATAATTATAATTTCCTTTTTAAAATAATTCATGCATTTAAATTTCATAATTTTTAATTATTTAAATTAACTTTTATCATAAATTTCATCAACAGTTAATATAAACGTAACAAACATGTGATATTGACTTGTATAAATTAATAAAAAATATATAAATTATTTAGATAAAGATAAAATGTAAAATATAACCATTTTTATTTTTATTTAAATATTATTTTAAAATTATATAAATCAATAATATATCATATTGTGTTATATTTTTATTAATTATTGAATAAAAATTTGGAATGAAAGATTTAGTTTATATAATTAAAAAATTATGAGAACTAAATGTGATAAATTAAAATTAAAGAAACTTAAATGATACATTAATTAAAATTCAGAAACTAAAAATATAATAATCTTTGTTTTTAAAAAAATCATAACTTAATAGATATTCTGTTTTTATTTTCTTAACAAAATACTTTTGGCATTTGTCTTAAAGTATTGATAAAATCTGCAAAAACTAGCCGCTGAACAATGAATTAGGGATCATATTGAATCAGATTCACCATTTAAATTATTTGATCAAATCATTACAAACGCTATTCACATGCAATAATATAAAACATGAAAAACAACTTACAAATAATGTAAAACCTAGGAAAGTAGCATAATAATAAACATGTTCCACTCACCATAATTTTTAAAACTAATTAACAAAATTTTTCGTATATTATACAAGGATTTTTAAAGTTAAGAATATAAAAATAATATATAATATTTAAAAATAATCAATATCATATTTTATTAGTTAGAAATAAAATTAAAGAGATGAGAGTTTTAATGTTAAGGAAGGAATTATAAAAAAAATTAAATTGAGATTAACTAAAACTATAATAACCTTAACATCTTATCTCGTTAGTGTCACTGCGATATATTTAGTAATAGTTCTCCACGAGGCAAATCAAACAAATTGATTTCTCAAAATCATATATATATATATATATGGGTCCCAGGCCATGTGAGTTCTATAAATGACTATAGCATACTTGGATAAATACAAGATTGGTTAAGTCATTCACTTATTGTATAATGAATTAAATATTTTTGAAAAAATAATTTAAGAAAAAAATATTTGAATTTTTTTTGAAAAAATCATTTCTTAAAAATAATTGGTTTCCAAACATGTCTTTAATAGTAGTCTAAATAAAAATCAAGAAAAAAAATACTTCATATAAAAATACATTGTATTAATACTTTTCATATGAAAAATATCATATTACATAAGAAAATGACGACCATAATAATTCACCATTATATTTCAAAATTAGATCAATTGAATAATAGAATGTAAATTAAAACTTGAGAAGATAGCTGAACAAAAATATTTGATCTTAATTAAATGCTTCATCTCCATAGTAGTCCTCAACTTAGATGTTCAAATCCTAATTTTAAGAAATTTTATGATTAAAATTCATAAAATAAGTTATCACAAAAAGATCTTATTGAATAAATCCTTAATTAAATTGTATTTTCAAATGCATTCTAAAACTTAAAATATTGAATACATAGAAATGCCATCCAATAACACACAAAGGAATGTAAAAGGAAAGGGAGAGAAAAAAAGTTGTGGACAGAACATTTAACTCTAAAATGAATGCTGATAATCAAAGTCAGAAGCCAAATGAGAAAATTTTATTAGCCGTATGTACAAAGGACCAAAAGTAGAAGTCCTTGGTAATCCTCAAAAGGATACACTAAGCCACAGATCCATGTCAACCAGCTCATGCTCGGTGACCAGAAAAGCAATGAGGCAAACACTTAGAAACCAAGGGTTTTTTTGCACTTCTAACACCTTAAAACAAATATGGAATGTGGTTAAGTAACTTGCCAACCTTGGTTCTCATAATTTAATCCATGGCTTTCATCTATCTTTGATGACAATAAAGGCGCATTTTTTAGTGTTGGTAACCATTCCTTCTTGTTTTTTTTAATCTCAGCTGTGGATATCCATCACTTTTCGTCTACAAAATGTTTACTCCATCAATCCCTTGGGGACATGCAATGAACTATGAACTTTCCCTATAGACTTCAGCTTCAGCATGACGTTCTTCGCCATTGCTTCTTCCCTTTCTTTTGATGCAATTTGAATGGACTCCAACTCTTCCTGCGTTTGGAGGTCTCACAAAAGAGACCAGATGCTAGAGCCTGCTGAAGCCACAGGTCAAATGCCTCTTCATCTTCATCCATCATCATTTCAGCGTCCAAATCCCATGGATATCTACTCGAGTTGCAACGCTGGCTTTTCTCCAAGCCAACCATGTTTACTCGGAAGCTCGGTCGATGGGTGTTAGGCCTACAAGCCATTCCCTGCACAAAATGAAGTAAGCTGTCAGGCACATAAAGTAGAGTAAAAATTAATCCTTTTCGGTCAAGATTTCTTATCAACCCTCTTATTTTAAGTTTTAACCCTAGGAAAGTTCTCATCGCCTCAACTCCAACAAAGGGGCCGAACAAACATAACCACTGCCTTGTACTAAGAGACCAAAATAAGGGACCAACTAATCTTTATTGTAAAAATAAGCAAGAATTCCCAAGGGTCTATTTACTTTGAGGTAATCTCTTCTGTTTTTACTTCCTATTTTCACTTTTTAATAACAAAAATATCACACTGTTTTCATTTTGTTTTATGTTTTCAAAGATTTATATAAAAACAGTGAAAATAATAAATAATTGATTTACTGTTTTCTGTTCAAACCTTTGAAAATAGAAAACAAAGTAAAACGATGGTAGCATTTTTGTAATAAAAAGTGAAAGTGAAAATAGATAACATGTTCTCAAACTAAACAGGCTCCAGATTTCATTCTTAATCAGATGATTATGGATTCTGTAATTTTGTAACATCCACGCTCACCAATAACCAAAATGCTACGTCAATGCAATTCCAATCAATTGGAATTCATCAAAGAATTTAATAATTATCACTGCTCATTGTCATTCATAACAAATGAACCCAATATTTGCATGTTTCACCCTTTCTGATTGCCATGATGTTTTGATTTCTTTCTCTAGACTTGAAACTTCAGAATAAAGCACCAAATCAGGTAAATATGCATTATATGTACACTGACCTGACATATAGCCCATTCCGACACATCAAAAATTTTGCTCTCTGCACAAACAAAAGCACGTGGAATCTCCACCTACGGAAACAAGATTGAATTTAGAAACTAAATGCAAACAATATAAGATAAGTCATGAAAACTATTCGCTATGAACCATTCTACCTTTTGAGGCCTGTCAAAAACCAAAGAACCTTTATATTCAACCCATCCATCTCCATCCTTGGCTTGATGAAACTGACAGCAATCCTGCTTCCAGAGAATAAGTAAAATTCAGAAGATAACGTGAGCATGAAATAGAGAGAAAGAGGAGAAATGCATACAATAATCAGCAAGTAAAGGAAAGAAATCAGACCTGACACCATCTTGCTTTGGCCTTGCTCCTGTTAGTACATACCCAAATATGTGAATTCCCACACTTGGTGCACTGTATTCGTCTGGATTCTTCAGAACGATAATCAGCATTATCCTACAGAGAATACATTAAATGTATCATCACTACTTTTTAATAAAGATCATCAGTCAGCCAAGTATTCAGTAAACAAGTACACAGGCAATCAATTGCATTGATCTCATTCTGAAATCATGTTATTGTTTGATAGAGGTGATTTTGATAATCATAAAATTCCTCTTACCCCATTAGCACATATTTCATTTAAACATATTATGTATCCATTCTTTTCTATTCTATTTTACATCACCAAATCAGTTACAGGTCCTTTTGTAAGCAAACATTTGTATTTGAAAAATAGGAAGCAGACAGAAGAAATTATAATTTTCAACTTGAAACCAAAGATTGAGATTAACAAAAGCAACTGTCATACAACATTATGATTAACAGTAGGGTTAAAGATTAGAATTCTATTATTGATTTTGCTCCAAAAGGGAGTAAATGTGTCAAGGAGACTTTCATCAAATACAGATTCTAGCTGGCTAGTCAAAAGCCCAGGGGCCATGAGAGTAACATTTTAAAGATGATGGTCATAGAAGAAGCATGAACAGAGTAGACCAACACAACAACACATTAAAATTAAATGTGTCCCACTAGAATTATAAATGTTTTCACTTGGACACAACTTTTTCAAGTTTCTGTATAGCACTGTCATAGCACTGCTTTAAGGAACTGCTTAACTATCACACAGATTATTAAGGAACAATTTTTTTTGTATAAAAGTGATAAAGAATGAAGAGAATTTCACAGCATTTATAACCCATGTCCATAGAGTATAAAACTAGCAAAACATTCTTGGTTTCCAAAACTACAACTTACAAGATGTGTGGATTGAATATACACAGAACCCAAGAAGAATACGAAAGTCATTTACAAGAATACCATCAGATTTACCTGATGTGAACTACTATGGGATCTCTGGCAGACACTTTTAGCCATGGATTCTTCTTTTCTTAATTGCTCATCATAGTCTCGCTTCTTGACAGAGTCAGAAAGAACCTGGAAGTTTCACATAATTTGTTAACGGAAGAAATTGAAGTGTACAAAATTAATTATGTTTTACAAATTATGTATCAAATATGCATTAAAAGCTAGTTTATCAAGTATCAAATATAAGAGAGATTATGCAGCTTAAACTCAGAACATTACCTCATATGCACATTGAAGCTTCTTAAATGACTCACTTGCCAAAGAACTGCCCATATTTTTATCAGGATGCACGAGCATAGCCTACATCATTAAATTGAAAAAAAAAAAGGAATATTCCATATAAAACATCAGATCATCAGAATATAGGAGGGTATTTGTTTTCATTTTTGAATTATATGTTTTCATCAATAATTACAAAAAAGCCACATCATTTTGTTTCTGATATTCAAGATTTTCAGAAGTAATGGTTAAAGCAGCAAAATGAAGAGATGGTGGCAATTTCATAATTAGTAAATCAGATGAATGCAAACAGAATACAAACCAAACACTCTTTAAGTAGGCTAGTAAACACAATATAACTTAAGTCAAAATGTGATTCCTCATACATTGTAACACAATAATACTTAAAACACATACCAGCAGCTTAGACAAATATTTTGATTACATTGAAGCAAAATAAAATAGACAATGCAAAAGAAATCTAAACGACTACCTTTTTCCGGTATTCCTTTTTCAAAATTGCTACATCAATCTTTTTGTGGCGGGCAAAACCAAGGGCTTCATAATGATTCAGACTCTTCAATATCCTCTTCATTTCATCAGTTGAACTTGTTTGTTCTCTAACAACTTTGTTAACAGAAAGCTCTTTCTGGTTATCAACAACTGATGTTGTAACAGCAGGTTTACTGGAGGATTTACATGAATGCAAATTCTCAGATTCTTCAGTAGGGATAGGATATTCACACTCTTCAGAGAAGTCATTTTCAATAACTGTTTCTGATTGCTTCTGCTCTTCAGAATGTGAACTTTCGCTCACATTATCAAACCATTGGAGCAGAAAATTCAAAATATCATTCGAGAGGAATGCGAGGTTTATAGCAAGAAAAAAACCTAGCCATCCCACTCGTACTTGAACACAGTATAAAGCATATATAGTTCCAATTAATACCACCAAGCGTGCATGATTTAGGGAGAATAAATAACCTGCAGTTGTATAATTGACAAAAAAAATTTCAGGATTGAAAAAGGTAACATATTCAATTAGGCCAACAAGAATAGAGAGGTATCCCATTGCCCTTATAGAACATCAGCTGAACCCAGTGTGGAATCATAAACACAACTGAAAAATATCACCTTAGGTATGAACAAATTAATAACACTGTATATATTACAAAAGATATAGAACAATATGCAGCATGCCTCCTCTCCTCTTTTATTCACGTCATTATGAGAATAGATCTTATAACCCAAAAAACAAGAAAAAATATCATACCTCCTACTATGAGTAATGTTCCTGTTATCCAGAAGTTAGCATACATCCACAAAATTAGGATGGCAAAAAGCCCTACAATGAAAACCCCAGGGGTATAACCCAAGTATTGGATAGCAACTCCAGCAACACCCTGAAACATTCAATTGAACTGTGAGAAGCAATGTAAAATTTTCTCGGCAGATTTATGTTACTGAATTTCTGAAGCAAGCAAATACATAACTACTATAAATACAAGTCCGAATTTAAGATGATAAAGTACAGATCCATCCGTCACTAGTGAAGTGCAACTTTTCTCCTAGACTAAAATTTAAATTGCCAAATGGGCAACAGAACCTAGAAGCTGAATAATGTAATTCACAAACAGTGTTAAAAGCCAAGTTAATTTATGCATAAACAAATATATTTATACAATGAATTCAAATAATATTAGATGGAAACAATGAGTAAATGACTGATTATGATGTTTAGCTTCTAATGCCAGGAAAATGTATAATCCCCATTTATACCATAGTGCTCTTTCTGTCATTATTGAAGTTCACTTTGCAAAAGACAATACTAACTGTCAAATCCACATAGTTTGTTACTCTCCAGAGTCTCACTTTTATAAAAATTAACATCATTCTTTAAGGTTTGAAAGTTGAAACTTATTTATATAAAAAAATCTTATAGAGCATTCCAACACTTTTATAATGACAATTGAAACCCAGTTGCTCCATGTATCAATCTATATTTTAGAATGACTAATAAGGCAATTGTAAAGGCAACCACTAAATGTTAGGATAACTGCCACTATTCTAAAAGTGCTATTCAACTGAAGGAGGTAATAGCGATAACCCAAAGAACAGCTAAAAGTAAAAATAAATAAGTGGACAACACACAAACACAGATCAGAAACTGCAAAAATGAAGAGTTATACAAGTTGAAATGAAGACATACCATGCTAACAAGCACGTAAACCAAGCAATACATCGAAGTCAGACTAAGAAAGCAGCTCCACATTATAAGCAGGAGCATCACTGAACCAAACCTAATGAAGGACTGAAAGCCCCTCAGAGCAGAATCTTTCCAGAAACTCAATGACAACCTCAGCAAGCTCCCCAATCTGGAGCAACCCCTGCACACCATAGGCCAATGCCGTTCAACGAACACAGCAATCCTGTCTTTGCAACATGTCACCACAGTTCGACCTCGCCAGCAGGCGTCCTTCTGCGACAGAAGCCACTGCCAACCTTGCTTGAACAACCCTATGTCCTCCATCACCAAGGCCTCCTCAAATTCCCCCACAATCTTGGTGAAACCTCACTCCTATGACTAAAACTCAAACCTCATCATCCTAAACAAGTTGCTAATGCTATAGATACCCATCACCATCAATCCAATGTCCCTTATATCTAAACAACACTTCAGCTAAATCGTCAATGCTATCCATAAAAAAAACACCTTGATCTACCAAAAATTCACTCAATAAAAAAATCCTGCTACTCCAACTCCCTACATAAAACAACCAAATTCACGGGTTTCACAAGTCCAATGGCTCCTCAACCAAAAAGGGAAAGAAGAAAAACACAAAACCCCACTATTGATGGGATCAAAAGAGAGCATTGTGTGAGTCCATGAGAGCACTAAATACAATCACGTTCAAAAGGGCTAAATTGCTTCCAAAATAAGCTTCCCGAAAAGCAACCACTGTTCACAAAAGCCCCACAAAAACAAGAAAAAACACAAAGCAATAGTTGAACAAGAAGATAAAAACCCTCCCTTTTTGACAAACACAATGCAACTCCTTTCCCTTTTCCACGCCCCCACTGAAACTCTAGCACTACCAAGCTTGACCCTTTAACCAGTTCAAGACCTGGCACTGCAGAAGGGGGCAAAAACCCATCAAAGGAACGAACTTGAAGGTGACCCAGTAACCGTTGGAACCCTAAAACCAGAGGGGAAGTGCCATTTGGGATCAAGTTTGAAACTTTGAAGCACCGACAGAGAATGAACAAAAGGGTACGATAGTTGAAGGAGAATATTGGATTTAGCAGAAGGAGAAAGAAAACCTTGGCTTTTCTCTTTTTCGTTTTTATTTTTTCTTCTTCTCAGGGATTGCTTGTGAAAAAGAGAGAGTTTCAAAAAGTTTCGTAAAGGGTGGAAAGAGACGAGCGAGAGAGTTGATTGTTGCAGAGGATGAGAGAGAAAGAGAGAGAGAGAAATTACATCATTTTTTAAATATTTTTTATTTCGGAAATATTATTTTGTTTGCTTCATGGATTTGGGCTGGAGAGTTATGTAATAATAGGCAGTGGGGTCCATTGCTCCCCATTGAATTTTGCAATTCCGTGATGTTTTAAACTTAATTTAATTCTTAAAGAATATTCTTAAATCCTAATCTTGGCTTGGCTTTAGAAAGAAAAAGAAAATAAAGCTGATTCAAGTTCTAGGTTTGAATTTAAATAATTCATTACAATAATATTTCATTAAAACAATTTTAGGAGTTGAATTAATAATGTTTTAAAATGTAGCTAATTTGAACAATATTGATCTTATTAAAATTAGGCTAATACACATAGCATCATAAGTTATTCTTATTTTTTAAAATTTTAAAAAGAAGGATTTGGGTAAGCAACAAAGTAGTACAATTAATTGTAATGTACAAAAAAAAAGGTACTAAAATTTTGGTGATGAAAAATGTTTTACCATATGCGTCACATTTCTTAAAATGTTTGTGGTGCCATAGATTGACCATAGATAGGTGGAAATTACATGATTGTTACAGATTTTGTGAGGTTTTAGTCCAAAAAAAGTAAAAATGTTACAAATTGGTGACAGTGATGTTGAAGTCAAGGTATGAATCACCGGCATAACTTTAAATATAAGTTTTTAAAATATAATAAAAAGAAACATGTGTCATGTCCTGAAAGACCTACATGAGATATGGTTCTACCTTCATTAAATTCTTTTACAATATTTAATAATAATATGTTTTTATTAAAAGTACTTATTATATTCCTTATTTTGATTTTTTGTTGATATGAATATTACAAGTATTTATGATAATCTTTTAATTAAAAATAAAAGTGTTAATTTAAAATTTTAATAGACTAAAACAATAAAAAATTAAAGAGTTAAAAATAATTTTTTATCAAATATAAAAATTAAAAATAATTTAAAATTTAATAAAATTAGTGAATAAATTAGTCAATATATAATAAAAACAAAATATATAAGCTAATTAAATTAAATATATTTATTAAAACTAGTCATTAAACACTGATAAATGAAAGACAACATAAAAGATATATTTAATTGTTTGACCATAATTTAAAAATAATTTATTCTTATAATTAAATATAAGTTCTTATTCTTAAATAAAGCCATATCTTTTATATTTGAATATTTATTTTTATTTATAAGTTTTAAATTTTTTAAACATTAACTTAATTATACTTTGGTCTTCTAATTATTATATTAATTTAATTTTAGTCCTTTAATTTTAAGTGCACGATTTTAGTCTTATTTTTTTATTTAATAAAGTTATCTTTTTTCTTTATATTTGTACTTTTAGTCTCTCAACTTTTATTTTTATTTAATTTTAGTTTCCTATATTCTCAATTTAGCAAATTTGAAAAATGTTTCTTTTCATTTTAAAAAGAATTTTTTAAAAAAAAATATATACTTATTTTATATTTTGTTCTTTTTAAAAATGAAAAAAATATGTGTTTTTAGTCTTCTAACTATTGAATTTATTTTTTCACTCTTAGTTCCCTAATCGAACTCTACCATTGTCACCGTTGCACTTCTTTTTTCTTTATCTCTCCAACCTTTCTTGTCTACTCCCCTTCATTCTTTCACTCTTTTTCTTCACAACCAACTTTTCTCTCTTTGACATTGCCTCTACTCTCCTCTTCCTCCTTAAAGATGCAAACTTTGACTATAAATCTCAACTTTCTCTTTGTTTTGAACAATCTTGTTTTGAAGGAAGAAAAGAGTAATAATGGAATTCTCTTGTTTGGTATTATTAACATTTCTAATCACTAGATAAATATATCAAAGGAAGTTTTGAAAATAGCCACTTCATAAAAAGATAAAATAAGTGTACATCATGAAGGATCAAGAGAGGTAAGATTTGGAGAAGAAGACATGGTAAAGCTCCACTTAAAGAGAGAGGGTGAAAGAAAAATATCATTAGTCAATGGCAGAGTCAAGCTAAAAAGGAAGAAGAAGAAGAAGAATTTTGTTGGTTGAAAAAAGGATGAAATTTGCTAAACTAAAAAAATCTACAAAATAAAATAGTGTAATTAAAAAATAGAAAATAAAATTAAACAAATACAATAGTTGTGACCAAAATTCTAAGGAGGAAAAATACCATACAAATTTATTTTTTAACTTATGATGATAAAATAATTTTATCAATAATAAAAATATCAACTATGAAATGCAATGTTAACTTACTAAAACTATATATTTTCAAATAGATATCACTTTTTATATTTTAATTTTCTTTAAACAATCTGTAATCTTAAAAGTTAAGATAATAATTTTTAGTTTTATCTTAAATTTTAAATAATTTTTTTAGTAAAACTAAAATAATATAAATAAAATTGTATTATAATTTTGATAACGTTGTATCATGAAAAAAGAATGTGTTAAGAGTGAGAAATAATATCAGAGGTTGATGAACATAAGAAAGGTAAACTAGGAATTCAAATAACATAATAAAGATAAAAATAAGAAAATCGCTATGCATATATGTCCAAACCCTACATGAAATAGGGTTTCAAAAGTGTTGAGTTAGTGAAATAAATTTTTAAATACTATACTTTGTTTTAACTAAATTTTTAAGCCGATTCAATAACTTATAGTTTATCTTATTTAAATTGTTAAACTAGAAAAATATATCTATGAAAAAAGAATGTGTTAAGAGTGAGAAATAATATCAAATGTTGTTGAACATAAGAAAAGTAAACTAGGAATTCAAATAACATAATAAAGATAAAAATAAGAAAATCGCTACGCATATATGCCCAAACCCTACATGAAATAGGGTTTCAAAAGTGCTGAGTTAGTGAAATAAGCTTCTTTATTAAATCCTATACTTTGTTTCAACTAAATTTTTAAGCTAATTCAATAACTTACAATTTGTCTTATTTAAATTGTTAAACGAGAAAAATATATCAATTATGAAAAAAGAATGTGTTAAGAGTGAAAAATAACATCATAGGTTGATGAACATAAGAAAGATAAACTAGGAATTCAAATAACATAATAAAAATAAAAATAAGAAAATCGCTACGCATATATGTCCAAACTCTACATGAAATAGGGTTTCAAAAGTGCTAAGTTAGTGAAATAAGCTTCTTTATTAAATACTATACTTTGTTTTAACTAAATTTTTAAGTCGATTCAATAACTTACAATTTATCTTAATTAAATTGTTAAACGAGAAAAATATATCAATTAAATAGTGTTTTATTTTGAATAGTTTAACTTAATTTTTAAATTTAAAATTTGAGTCTAACCTATTTATTTGTCATTAGTATTCTTTTAAGCTATTTTTTTTAATATACTTCAATGTTTACTTTATAATGGGATTTTTTCGAATGAATAGAAAAACTTTACCCTTAAATAAGCTAAAAAGTCTTAAGCCTTCAAACAATCTAATTAACAATATACAATCTAAAAAAATAATATAATTAAAATTAAATAATAGAATTTTTAAACAATTTTTGTAGCTGAATGGACAAGACAAATTATTAGAGTTAAAAGACTTTGTCAATGGCCATTTTAATGAAATGGATAAGATAAATTACAGTCCCTGAATTCAAGTGATATTGTACTTAGTATCCTTCTATTTTTTTAAATCTTATATAGACTTCTATTAATTTATAAATCAAAGGAGATTTGTATTAATTAATAGTATATTATACAGTTATATAAATTAAGAATATCAACTCAAGGTCAGAAAAAAGCAAAAGAATGCCAAGTGTTCCTCCCTTAACTGTCTTCTAATCTCTGATCAGGCGTCCTGCTGCTGATTTGATGATAGGGAGAATACCTGCAAAAGGCACTCCGATGATAAAGTCAGGATTCGGTTCTGAGCAATAAATGTTATTTAATGATCTGAAGTCAACCACTCACCTGTATTTCTTATCTTCTTTTTATAGACGTTCTTTTGGGCTAATGGGCCTGAGTCAATTTTTATATTTGAGGCCCATAGTATTTTTGATTATCTTTAATTTGGATTATTTACCTTTTAATCCTGACTAGGGGTACCGGCCTAGTATGCCGAGTAGGTATTCGGTTTCTTTTTACTGATGGTGGAACCGAGTTGATTCCTTTCCCAGTACACTAGCCCTACAAGCCCGGCGAGTTGCGAAGCAAGGGCTTTAAAAAATGGAGATGGTAATATTAGAATAGGTATTCGGTTGGAGTGCTTTTTATTGTACTGAGGGGGTCATCGTGGGGGTGTCCGATCTCGATTGATGGTAACGTTTGATGTATTAATTTTTACACTGAGGAGTAGTCGGTTTAATAACAACACGGTATAGGCCGAGATTATAAATTTGCTAAGGAATATTCTAGAATGTTGGTTTTGAGGATTTGTCAGAGGGTATGTGAAGCGAAGGGGTGCTCCATCTCCTCCGTTGATCTGGAAGGGATCTGATGGTTTGAAACGAAAGGGCGTTTTTTCGTTTGCCCGACATCAGTCCCTTATAAATATGTGGTGGTCCCTCATCCCTTTCTTACTCTTTTGCTTTGTGCCGAACCCTGCATACCTTTGCTCCAAACCGACTAGTGTTCAGAGATCCTAGGCTTTTCTTCCCTACCGACTACTAGCAAGGTGCGTTTTATTTTTTCTTAACTTCTTTTCTATCATGGCTGATCGTATTGAGTGGGAGGATTCCTTGTCGGATGCCTCGGGGCCGGGTACCATTGAGGTTGATATTATAAATGGAACCGAGGGGAGTGACGAAGTTTCGTCTATTTCAAACCGGAGGGCTGAAGAGGCACAGGTCGGCGAAGGCAGTAGCGAAACTGAGACGTCATCGTCAAGTGATACTGACGCTCCTGAACCTCTTCCCAGCACTAGTCCTCCTCGGGAAAGGCAGGTGTTTCCTCCCTGCATGGTGCCTGGTTATGAGTGGGTACACGGTGAAGTGGCCGCCTACTTTTCTCGTTTCAAAAGAAATAAAAGTCTTCAATTTTTTGTAGATAATTGTGATATTTCTTTATGGGAGGCCTGTGACCCGTATCCTATACA